TTCTCTATTTTCAAATGTATTAATCTCTCAATTTCAGGATTTTATTTTCATGTTCTGAAACTGTGTATATACTTTGTAGGGAATAAGGACTAAAAAGACATTGCTTCTCTAAATAAAGCTTTGATTTTCTGATTTAAATAAATTTAAAACTAAATAAATCTGGCTTGTTTGTTATGTTTGGCCTGCAGCAGTCACCTGGCTGAATGAGATGCCTAGGTTTATCTAATGCTATTGACTTTCTTGCTGCATTTACACATTCCAGTGTTTGACAAAAAAAAAAAAAAAAAAAAAAAAAGCTAGTAACCAATATATAAACCAGACACTGAGCTCTATAGGTCCCACTGCAGTCAGCCAAAATATTGCTGCTGCAATTAATGTGTTTTGAATCAGACCCTGGAAGGGTCACAGGAAGGATGACAGCAGGCAGGGAGCCAGGCGTTGTTAAAGGGGGGATCAGTTCAAGCCGCTCCAGCAGGATGAGGTAATGGTGTGGGAGATCCCAGCTCACTTGCAGGGGCAGGAGGAAACAGCATGGTGCCTGCTGCGCTGGAGGGAGGAGGGGGAGGAGGGGAAGGAGAAGAAAAGGAGTACAGACAGTGTGCCTCTTACCTTTTTGCTTAAGGCAGGAGTTTTTATCTCCAGCATCCCCATATGATGTGCATAGTATATAGGGTACAGAGTGACAAACTGAGAATGATTTGTAGCTTTATGTTGCTGTTGATCATGCTGTTCGCTTACAAGGCCAGCTAGTATCACCTAAAGTTTCTGTATACCACAGACTCTTCTTTTTAGGAGTTCAGCCCTTGCTGAAACTTCATTTTTTTCATTCAGTCCCATGTGATGAGTTTAATCTTAGACTAAGATTGAAGTCAGCACAGGAAATGAGGTCTCTTATGCTAGTCACCATGGTGGTAGGATTTCGTAGTAGTGTGTTTCCTCCAGAGAGAAAGAAAATCTTTAATGCAGCTGCAGCAGAGCTGTAGCTGTGGACTTGCAGAGATATCTTGCATTTAGATAAACCACAATTTCACACAGTAAGTGCCACAAAATCTGCCCAAGAACCTAAGCACTTGGTGCCCAGGCAGCATGAAAGTATCTTCCACCCTGGCTATAATGCTGGCACTTTGCAAATGAGTTACTTGGAATGTAATTTAAAGCTATTTGATAGAATTTATGAACTGCAGTTACAGATGTGATCGCACTGTAAATATTCTTTCTCTCACTGTGGATGTGTCTAGAAATGCCAGTACACTAAAGTTGTGACATGAGCTTTAGTCAGATGTCTGAAAGTCTTGGAAAATTCCTGGCAGTCTATAGAAAAGCACAGGTTTGAAGAAGTCATGAGATTTTTCTAAGGATAAATTGAAATGAAGAATAAATTAAGAAGTTATTCTGCAAAAAAATCTCAGTTAAACTATAAAAGTGTCATTTTAGCTGCTAGGTCTTTTAGGGTCCTTCCACTACTTAAGTGTAGCCTCAACTAAGAGCAAAAAGCTATAGGTTTTCCAAAAGTTGAAACAAACCTTTTGTAGAAAAAAGCCTATGAAAGCAAAATATTATTTTTGATGAAACCATCTAGAGATAGAAGCCCCAAGAAGTCTAACCTAAATGGCTCAAGAAAGTCTAATAAAATTATTTCTGAATAAGAGAAAGCTTCTTGCACAAGACATATGCCAGTATTGACTGGCAGTGTCAACATTTAGCTGTAGGGAGTTCAGCTGATTTAAGACACCAGCAAAGATGTTTCACATAATTCATAAGAGAAATACAATGGGAAATAGTTGTAATTGTCTATTGGGAACCCTGAATGTCAGATGAAGTCCCTGAGGATGACTTCATTGCAGTGACAGTGCCAAGTCACATGTAGCCCTCATTTGCTATGGTATAGGATACAGTTATTCAAAAACTAACAGAATGAAATTCATAGTTAATTAATGTTCACTGTGCATAATTGTTATTATCCAGACATCATGTATATTGTAGTACCGTAGTATTATGTCCTTCATTTGCAGGGTATATCTCAAGTTTATCTCTTGATACCACAGAAGTTGATTATGTTTTTGGAAAAAACTGCAGAACAGTGACATTATTACCATATTCAGGGTAAACCATTCTTCAGTTTTTGAAAGATCCTGACATCTGACCTGCATGTTGTTTCATCCTGGTGTGCTTCAGACTTACATGGTAGGCTTGGTAACTTCCGCATCAATAAGTTTATGGGAAATGCCTGATCCATGTCAAAGAAACAGCTGCAAACACTGGTAAAAGTCTTGAGTTATCAAAACTGAAGTATTTACAGAGCTTCTAAATAGTTGCTAGGTCCTTCCTCCTGTCATCCTACACAAGCTCCCTCCCACCCAATGACTGTATGCAAGACCAAAGTCACAAGGAAAATTTCAGATAAGCAGCAAATTTATCTTTGTAATGGGAAGGAGGACACCTTTCCATCTGAAAAAATATAGACTCTTCAACCCTTCCAGATATTTGCTTTCTTCCTTCTCCAGCCATATGCACCATGTGCTCTACACATATATTTAATAGTTTTTCCCACTCCATTTCCTGTAGCCCACAATATTTGGTGCACACTCTCATCTTCCTTCCTCAAACCCAGAGACAGAGTGAAAATTAGGCATAGTGCTGGCATGTAAACACACCTCATCCTCTTAGAAGAACCCCAGCCTTCTCAGCCCTGGGGTGTGTGCACCACCTCCTCTTCCTTTGTAAGGAGCCAACTAATCCCAGAATGGCTAATACAATGTACGCTCAGTTTATGAGTCTCATTGGAACCAAGGACTTGGCACAAGAACGTGGACTGAGGAACCCACTAAAAACTTGTCCCTTGGGGAGCTAGTACTGTTCTGCTTGTCCTGGGCATCTCAAAGGAAGACTGGAACAATTGCTGCATGCAATTAATGATTCCATTGCTGTGTACTACCTCTTCCTCAGAAAGAACATCATCATTTCCTGGTATACCATGGCAAGAAAACATTATGCTATTTATGCTTTGTGTAAGTGATGGAACCAGGGGAGAGAAAAGAATGAAATCACTCCTCAGATTTAATTGTTTTTTGGCTAGAGAAGCTCTTTAAACAGTTTGCTTTGAAAAACCTTTGCCAAAAAGAAGTAGTAAATGTCTAACTGACACAGTTCATTAATGGCATACTAGAATAACTTCTTTTAGCCTTTTCCAAAAGAAAGAATGGATGAGTGGATGACTCATCTTTGAAAAGGTTTACAGTCTCAACATTCAAAACAGCAATCCCAGACAGATTAATATTAATGGCTTCCCATTGTAATTTGACAAATGAATGTTCACCCATGCTGTTGACTTCTACCTGTGCCAACAGCTTACTGCAGGGATAGCAACTGAGCGCTGTTCTTCAAGAACATAGTGAAGTCTGCCATGTGGCAAAGGACAGAAAGAAGCCCTGTACATTATAAAACACTTTGCAAAGGTTCTGGTTCTGCTGAAAGCTTAAATTGACTTTAAATTAAAATCCAGAAAAATAATCTCTATATTTGCAATGGTAATTTATTCCATTTGTGAGACCTACTCAACGTGAAATGCAGTTAGAATTAATTCTGTATGTACAAGTTCCAACATTAAGTATCAGTGCAATAAGTCAACAGTGCTGAAAGAATTTCTCCCCATTCCTTTTTCAGTCCAT